ATACTGTCTTTTTAAAGCAACCTCTAACACAATGATGGAAACCCTATACCATGCGTATAAAAGGGGACACGCCACAACATCTTGGGTGACACACCAGCATTCACCAACACCCAACAGCAACTATTCCCCCTGTTTGAGTTACCAAAGAAACTGAATTTGTTTTACTCATACTTCATTTTTGTAATTATTTGATGTTTCTTTATATAATACCACACATGATTGGACTGTATTTCTTTCAATAAATTAATATGTAAAGAATTGTTTCTCTCTTGTTTTGGGGGTGGGGTGACATGCCAGCAGAGTCAAGTTAGGCATTTTCTGAATTTTTGACACACTAAGCCCAAAGGCTCGCCATCACTGGTCTAACAAGTGGTTTTCAGCTTCTGTGTCTACACTTGGATCCAACCTGACTAATTCTCCATTTCAATTAACTTTTCAGTTTCTGCTAATCTTCATGTTAAAAGGCTTTGTTCTCTCAACAGGCTTTATCTAGTGATGCATGATTTTATCAAAAAACATTCCTTTTTAACTCATCTGCTCACAAAATATTTCTTGAAAGGGCTTTCCAACATTTATCTACCTGGAGTTTTGTCTCTAATTCTTTCAAATCCACCTGCAAAACTACTTGATCAGAGTTTCAGTTTTATACCTTCAAAGTTGTATTTGGTGATGGCTATAAGCTCTGTATGCTCTGAGGAAACTTCAGGCCCTTTGGGTAAATCTTCTATTCTTACAATCAAATTGTATTAAAACCAAATACTACATTTCTTCTAAGAGCTGTTGTATTAACAATCCTATTAATATTTCTAATTTTCTTCTCATTACTGTCCAATTCATTAGAATATTCTCCTCAGTCTTTAGGTGCTTGCAAAGAGTCATTTTACTTGTTTCAGTTTGTTTGTAGATCTTCAGTACATCTGAAGAACTTACTGGATTAATTACAATATTTTGCTCAGTGGGTGATGGTACACTATTAATCTATGCCACTGATTGTCTAATTTATTGCTAGTGAGGTCATTTCCATGGACATTCCAATAAAGCAGTTTCCACATCTGCATCCTTGTTGCAAGCTATCTTCCTTTTTGACGTATGCAGAGTAAAGATGTTTATGTAACACTAAAGAATGGATGTTTTGGCTCAAGTTGATGTCTCCTTTTGCAGAGCTAGCTTACTCCTGGCTTAACCTGGGCACCTACTCAACTTTCACCTGATAAACCTGCTAGTCTCCTGTATGTGTGATGCAGGGAGAACATGATGCAGAATGGTTTATTTACCTATAACTGGTTCTTAATTAATCATCTATGAATTCACACAACTGGTTTACCTTCTCTGCAGATCCCTACCATGGTAGATAGTCCTGGTTCTGAGAAAATTGCATTATTTCTAAAGAGTGGGAGTGGGAGTCTTGCCTGTGAGCATGGATGTTGGGAGTGGATTTCCTTCCAAAATTCTGTGCCGGTATTGAAGGTTCCCACTGAGGCTTCCATGGAGGCCTAGATCCTATATGTGTGATATACAGAGACCATAATATGACCACTTGAAAAACCGCAATTACTGATAAGCAACTTATGCTTGACAGTCAGTGGAGGATGTAATCCTCAAATAGAATATTGAACAACAAATCTGACTTTCTGAGAGTAAGTTGTTTCATGTTTTGCTCTTTAAAAGAATAACTTGTTGGAGCACACATAGCAGAGTCCATATCAAAGCTCTATCATGGAATGGATGTTGTGGTAGAAGAATTTAATTAGAATTTTTTGTTAAATGACAAGTAGCTTCCTTATATATTTCTTCTAATATTTTTATTAATCTCACTCCTAGAATATAGTATATCCTATGTATATATTGGTGATTTCCTTCAGATTGCAGGAACACTACTGAAAAATAATCTAAGCAGCCAAATCTGTGGAAGACTGTTCCTAGGGACAGTCTTCCACAGATTTGGCTGCTTA